AGTTGACCCGCATTTCTTGTGGTCCTTTCTTTCCTTGTCTTTTCATACTGTTCGCATTTCTTTCTGCTTGGTGAAACTGTTGTGTTATTGAATTTTCCCCCTATATATTTATATTGCTCTTGTATAGTTGCAAAGTCTTCCTCGCAGGTGCGGGCAGCGGCTCTGCCCCTCCTCCAATTGGGGCAATGTGCCTACCACGCTGGCAGGACACTGGGCATGTTCTGCCGGTCGGTAGCAGGTCCGCCTACCTTGCAGGCGCGGGTGGCGGCTCTGCCCCTCTGCGAGCCGCTTGGCCTGTTCTGTCGGTGGGTCGCAGGTCCGCCTACCTTGCAGGCGCGGTTGGCGGCTCTGCCCCTCCGTGGGCCGCTGGGACTGTTCTGTCGGTGTTCGCAGTTCCGCCTACCTTGCAGGCGTGGGGGGCGGCTCTGCCCCTCCGCAGGCCGCTGGGCTTGTGCAGCCAGTGGGTCGCAGGTCCGCCTACCTTGCAGGAGCGGGGGGCGGCTCTGCCCCCCCGCGGGTTTCAAGAGGTATAATTTAATCGGCTTAATCCACTGATATGTTTTAATTGGATGATAACTCTAGGCACATAGGGTGTGGCTGAAGGAAGTAGGTCATTAAAGGCATGTCTTTGGTTTATATATTTTATCTCTGATGAGTGGAGCTCTGCTTCCTGGTGGTCATGTCCTGGGATGAGTTTTTCTACCAAGCCTTTTTGCCATCTGTTCTGCTTCACCTTTGGTCCGGAACAATGGGGTCAGCTGTCTATGGACTAAAACCCCTGAAATTGTGAGCCAAATAAACTTTTCTCCCTTTAATCATTCTTGTTAGGTCTTTTGGCCACAGTGATGAAAAAGCTGACTAAAACACCAACACAATGACATGTCACTACTACTACTGAGGTTTATTTACTAGGGTTAGAAATTAATCAAGTAGCTCTAAATTTGGGTGACTCTAATGTTTATTAATAGCTTCAGTGATCACCTATAGCAACTCCATCCCAGAAGTATTTATGGTGCAAGGCACATCCAAGTCCCAAGTTGTATCATTTAGGTTTAAATACCTTGTTTTAACCTTTCCAAATAAGCTTTCTTCTCTTTAGGCTGATGGTAAATGTTGGGAGAAGGTAAATTTCCTTAATCAATTTCTTTTTGAGTTAAAGTGAATGCTCATTGTAAGAAAACATAAATTACAGAAATATAAAGCATTAAGCTTCTCTGTGTTTTTCTCCTTTTTTGTCCCCCATAACCAAATCCAATATCAATATAGCAGTTTTATATGTAGCTCTTACAGTTCTCATTCATACACAAACTTTTTTATAAGCTCCAAGTTTATACCATAAAAACAGGCAGATACAGGAGAAAGACAAAACCATAACTTAAACATTATTCTTAATTTTTGAATCAACAATATAGTATGGCCATAACTTTAGCTCAGATTAGCTAACCTAGTGATATCTGTTGCTGTATTACAGTACTAGGAATAATGAATACTGTTAGTAATTTGTACTTAATATCAAAACTAGAATTATTCTGTAATTTGTCCATACTTAATTAATTCCATGTAGAACTGAGTAATTACTCAAAGTCGCAGGTTTGATGAAGAGAAAAACAAAAGCATGAAGATGGTTTAATGTTACAGTGTTTTTTCAAGTATTTGATGATATATCTGAAATACTGTAATTTTGAAAATAATGCAAAATAAAATGAAAAGGGCAAAAAAAAAAAAAAAGGACACAAAATAGTGATGTCTTTCAAATTCTAGGTTTGTGGGCTTTTATAATTATACAAAGCATAATTTCCTATGTAATTATTTCAACAAAAAAGTACTAAGTGATTATAGGATAAAATTTGTAACCAAGTGATTATTTCCAAAAAAGTAAAATTAAGTACTAAGTCATAGTAGAACATTAGCAAAGCTAAATTTCTGTGAACCTCACTTTAAAAAAAGATTAAATAGATGTAGATGGACATCATGCCTTTATTTGTTTAGTTTTTTTTTTTTTAATGCGGTGCCAAGGATCGAACCTGGTGCCTCACACATGCTAGGTTAGCACTCTGCCACTGAGCTACAGTCCCAGCCCTGACCTTGCTTCTTTATAAATACCTTGGCTTTGCCAACAATTAATTTGAAATACTATTTTCCATAAATCTATCTGAAAATCCAAAACAACTATATAAGGAAAAGTATCTGAATAGTTACAAATAAAAGTCTTGATTTTTCTCTTTTTGAAGGCTATACATTTTAATATGATCTTTTGGTTGATTTATGTAAAGCTTTGTATTTTTCATTTTCTCATGCCCATCATTGCAGTGATATATGATACATCTTAATATCGAGCTTGCCATAAGCAATAAAATCAGGGTCCCAAAGAAATTTTAATATATTTCCCCATTTTTAACTCAGAGCTTTGCATTATTCAACTATTTTGCTTGGGATCCATGTTTAGTTGATATTTTAATACACACATAAATAATTCAAGATTTTAACTTAAAGGTAAAATTTAAATAAATTATTTAAAAGTTTAATAGTAGTCATCACATACAAAGTGAAAATCTGAATGATAACTTAAAATATACACAAAACAATCTCTCTAAATGTTGTATTTTATATTCTAGTTTGCTTAGAGCAGTTTTCTATAATAAAAAATAAAGTTATTCATAAAATGATATTCAACATAAAATGGAAAACGTATCTCTACGAGTCTGTATGAAGGAAAAAACAAAGTATAAATAATTAGTTCAATTGCAAACTTCTTATTGAACTTGTTTTTTCCCAATTTTAGGGATTGAACTCAGTACATCGTGCATATGCTAGGCAAGCACTCTACCAACTGAGTCACATACCTAGCCCCTCATATTGAACTTTTACCTAACACTTAAAAGCTAATAGCTGAACCAGAGGGTGAGACAATGAAAAAGATCAGTCCTCAAGAAATTTGCAACCTAGTAAAATTACTTAAGTCCTTGATAACATAAAGCTAAATAAAGTTATTTGTCACAAAAAATGGGAAGAAACAAAGTGTTAGGGTAGTTTATCTTGTTGAATAAATGCATGACACAGTATTTGAGTTCAAGGTTGTGTCATGGATAAGATGTAATCAGTTAAAGGGAAGAAGAAAAGAAAGCAGATAAGACAAAATAAGCAAATGTAAGGGAGAAGAAAAGCAGAAGGGAGTATCTAAATGTTTCAGTATTATTAGAACAAAGGATACATATAAGAGAGGCCTAAGACAAAGAGTGAAAAAGTTGCTATAGACATATGCCAAATGGCCTTTGATTCATGGCCAATCGTCTTATAACTTTAGAAAGGAATGTAACACTATTGTGGAATTTTGTGCAAGGAAATGAACACTAGAAAGGAAAATCAATATGGTGGTAGAACTGACTATGAAACGTATGGAAGCAAAGAATGGACTCAAACTAGAAGAGTTTGGGCAAGGTACAACTTTAATTGAAGAGATGGCCATGGGGATGTAATGAGGTAAGAGATATATTAGAACTACAATATAAAGGATGAGATAATCAATTGAATGTTCATGGTGACAGAGATATAGTTTACAGAACGATGACAAAATTCTGTGCCTGAACCACTAGGGGTGAATCAGTTGTGATAAATAACAAAATGAGAAAAATACATGTGGAGTGGGAAATAAGTTCAAATTTTATATATAATGACAAATAGTCCTAAGGCCATATTTAACATGTCCAATTATAATAATGGATATAAAAGATATCTAAACAGAACTCTGATGAACTCAATAAAATTTTAATATATAACTATATAAGATTAACAAAATCAAAGTTCTGAGAACTAAGTATGTGAGGAGACTCAATATTACCAAAATGTCAGTTCTTCCCAACCTTATCTATAGATTCAACACAATTCCCATAAAAATTCCAACAAGGTATTTTGTGGATAAGAAACAAAAGACAGAGCTGGGGTTGTGGCTCAGTGGTAGAGCACTCACCTAGCACAGGTAAGGCTCTGGGTTCGATCCTCAGCACCAAATAAATAAATAAATAAATGTTAAATTAAAAAAAAAAAAAGGACACAGTATAGTTGATATAATATTGAAGAAGAACTAAGTAAGTCTGAAGTAATAACTGATACTATCTGACCAGACTCACTATGTTTTAGTAATCCAAAAAGTGTAGTATTGGCAGAGGAATATATGGGTCAATGGAACAAAGTACAGAGTCCAGAAATAGTTCACACAAATAACTAAAATAACAAGGCAATACAAAGAAGAAAAATGGTGCTAGAACAAATGGATATCTACTTTTAAAAAATAAATCTATACACTGATCTTATATCCTTTATAAAATCAATTCAAAATGTATTAAAGACACAAATGTAAAACACAAAGCTATCAAACTCTCAAAAGATAACATAGAATAAAATCTAGATAGACTTGGGTTTGGGTGGAATTTTTTGGATATAACATTAAAGGTACAATAAAAATAGGAAAGAGTTGATAAGCTCGGCTTTATTAAAATTAAAAAACTTCTGGTCTGTGAAAAACATTAATTACTATGAGAAGCAGATGTCAAACTACAGAATGGGAGAAAATATGTGCAAATGAAATATCCAAAAAAACCCTTCTATCCAAAATATACAAAGAACTCTTAATACTCAATATTAATATTAATAATCCAATTAAAATGGGCAAAAGAGGGGCTGGTTTATGGCTCAGTGGTAAAGTGCTTACCTAGGATGGGTGAGGCGCTGGGACCATGGTCAGCACCACATAAAAACAAATAAACACCACCAAAAAGTAAATAAAATACAGGTTAAATTCTAAAAAAGAAAAAAAAAAATGGGCAAAAAAGAAAAAAAAAATGGGCAAAAGATCTAAAGAAAAATTTCACCAGAGAAGATATACAGATGGCAGATAAGCATATGAAAAGATGCTCAATGTCTTAAATCATTAGAGAACTTCAAACTTAAACAACAATGAGATAATGCTACAAACCTAATATAATAGCCAAAACAACATCTAATGCTGGTAAGAATGGAAGAAAAGAAACTCATTTATTACTGGTGGGAATGCAAAATAGTACAGCTATAATGGAAGACAGTTTGTCAGTTTCTTACAAAGCTAAACATCCTTTCATTATACTTTTATAAATACAATAATCATACTCATTGGTATTTACACAAATGAATTGAAAACTTACGTTTACACAAAAACATGCACATGGATGTTTATAGTAGTTATATTCATAATTGCCAAAAGGTGGAAGCAACTAAGTTGTCCTTCAGGAGGTGAAAGGATATAATAAACTTTGTTATGTTCAGACAATGGAATATTATTAGGTAATTATAAGAAATAAGCTAACAAGACTTTAAAAAAATGAGGGAACCTAAATGCAAATTAATAAGAGAAAGAAGCTAATCGGGAAAGGATACATACTGTATGATTTTATATGACATCCTGGAAAAAACAAAGGTATGGAGACAATAAAATGAGTGGTTGCCAGAGATTAAAGAAGACCAATGAAGAAATGAATAGGTGGAACATAGATCTTAAGGTGGCAAAACTATTCTGTATGATATTGTAATAGTGGATACATGTCATTTGACATTATCAAAACATATAGAATGTAAAAATTAACAGAGAGCCTTAATGTAAACTATGGGCTTTTTATGATAATATTTAATCAAAATAGGTTCAGCAGTTGTAAAAAATGTATGACTCTGGCACAGAAAGTTAATGGTGGAGTAGGCCATGCTTCTGTGGAAGCAGGGAGTATATATGGGAACTCCGTACATCTCAATTTTGCTGTGAACTGAAAGATGCCCCACATTCTATTTTTTTTAAAGAGGGTGTAAATAAACATGATTATAAAATAACCAATAAAAGTAATGGTATTATTCCTATTTGTCCAGCAACGTTGATACTTTTGAAACATAAGTACATTCAAAACAAAAATTAGAGATCATTTTGGTGATATGCAGTAAAATAAACTCAACTGGCTAAATAAAGTGATTGTCTTTTCATATGCTTCTGTATCATGACATAGATTGCAAGGATGGGAAGAATAAAGAGGAAAGTAGTGCAATGAAAGAAATAATTACACACATAGGTGTTACAGGTAAAATTAAAGGGGAACAAAAGAGACATATGTCACACAGAAGTCACGGAAAGGTTGTGTTAACCAAAGAAAAAGTCAATATAGAGAATTTGGTAATGTTAATGAATAAGCTGTTGATATTTTTTCAATTAATCAATGATTCTATTAATTTCTTCTTAAAAAAAGCATTTAAAAAATAAAAAAATAAAGTAATGGGAAAAACTGGCCATGGTAATTGACAAAATGCTATGTTAACTTTTCTGTACAAAAATGACTGCTTAGTCAATGATGTTTTTGAAAATGCTTTTTCAAAAATTATGTATATACGTAGATGTTTTATAGTTGTCAGGCTCTGGAGATACCTGGAAAAGAGAGAGAGAGAGATAATAGTAAGAAGAAAATGAAGGTAAATGCATCATTTTTATTCAATGTCAGTAGATATCTCACCTTAAAGATCTAACATTGTAATGTGCAATAGGGAAATGGACTGTAAAGACAAATACAATACCAAACAGCAAAGTGAACAGTGAGCTGTTTAGGTGAGCTGAACATATAATGGTAGTAGTATCTAAACAAGAATTCAATGGTTTTGAATTTGTGTGTGTGTACATGCAGCAAAAGCAGAAGGACCTAAAAGTAAGGGGTTCCTTTTAGTAAGTCTGAGAAATGTTTGGATAGTATTACTTCAATCAGTTTTTTGATAAAAGGCAATTCCAGCCCAATTGACTGACCTATTTTTCAATCCTGTTCATCATCATCTTTCTGGAGACCTGGTATCAGTAACTATTTTCTATTATGGAAACTCTCATTCAAAGAGTTATTCCTAATTTTTGCAGAATCCTTGTTAATTCTCTTGATCCTTCAGATTCCCTATCCTAAACATGTAAGTAGGAGTGTGTCTCAAGATTTGGGGAAAAAACACAGACACACAGAATACTTTTTCTAATCTTTTTTTTTTTTTTTTTCCTGTCATTAGTCTCATTTCCTTACACAATTTCAGCTAGTATTTCTACGAAGACAGAAATATATAAAGCAATATTTCAAGGATCAGACCTTACAATCAAAGGATCTAATCCAGATTTTTATGATTCCACTCAACATATTTTTTTAAATTTATTTTTTATGTGGTGCTGAGGATCAAACCTAGTACCTCACATGTGTAAGGCAATAGCTCTACTACTGAGCTATAACCTCAGCCCCCACTCAACATCATTAAATTGACATTTTGTTATATTTAAAAAAGAGCTCTACTGCACTTTTGCCTCATTTTCCATCTTTCCCTTGTACTTCTCTTCCCCTGAATATTTTCAGAAAAGCTGTATTTCTCCTCTCTTCTTATTTGTATGAAGAAAACCAATTCATCATCAAATCTTCCCTGTAATACTTATGCACAATAACCTAATTCTTATCTTGCTACATGATTTAATACTTGGTTTTATATTGTCCTTTATCTTCTCATTGTTTAATGTATTACTCCCATTTCACTGACCTGCAAACTTTTCTGAAATGTAATGTCTTTGTATCATAGCGATCTTAAGATTATAAGCAGTTTTAATATTCTTAGTTATTGACTGAGAAGCTGAAAAAAATCACTAATGACAAAATCAATTTTCTTTCTCCTCTCATCTAATGTCACAGAGCTATATATACAGAGTCAATGTGTGTATCTCACTTTTCAAATAAAGTCACTGTAAATCTTAGATTTACTTGCCTTGTCTTCTAAGTGCAATTCTAAAAAGCGTAGATAAGCCACAGGTGCAAATGCATCAGCTGAATGTACAACCACTTCTGAAGAATCCCTGAAATATAATTATAATGCATTTATTTACTATACAAATTATGGCAAGTTACTCCTGTTACTGACAGAAGAGACAAAAAATCCTCACTGTGTACTAATTTCCATTGATGTACAACATGCAGTGATTAACATGTATTTTTAATGATTCAATAATTGGGTAAAAGGATCAAGAATAGTAAACTTTTGAAAAAAATAATGAAGTTTTTCATCTTCATAAGAGCACATAGTTCAACATGTAGGTTCACTCAAAGCTCTTGGAACAATTTTAAGACTTAAACTCCTGTTCAATTTCATTTTCACAAATTTGCTTGGTAGGGATTAAACATTAGTGCTTTATCTTCATTATTCTTTTGATTTTCAAAAGGTAATTCATTCAGTGTTTCACACAAAATCTCAATTATCTTTCACAAAAGCATTACCCAGGATGGTTTAAGCTTCAGCTGAACTCTTCACACTGCAACATCATTGCTATTAAAATTGATCGCCTGACACAGTAATTACCACATTCAGGTAAAATGGTATGAACTGCTTGTTGGAACCATATAGATACATGTAAATTAACCCAACTTTATCAAAGATACCCTATAAAACACATATGAATAACAAATTATGTGTGAAGTTCTAATAGCTAATTATTTTTTATTATTGTTTATTGGGAGTGATAATACTTTGCATTTTAACTGAAAATTTAAATAGAAATTTCTCATAACTCTTTAATGCCTTAGGAAGTAGTTACATTGTTTGGATTAATATTGTTAGCATTTTGATCACTGTAGTATAGCAGAATAAATACTTACTTTGACCTTTTGTCACTAAGGCAAAATCATTTTTGAATCAACTTTTGTGATATAAAGTTATTTAGAGGCAATAGAAGAAACATCAGAATATGTGACTGCAAAATACTAAATTTCCATGAACAAAATATGTTTACATTCTATATGAAAGATTCAAGATAGATTTTAAAACTATGTTTGATGCCAGGCATGGTGGATTACACCTGTAATACCAGTGATTTGGGAGGGATCCTTGGCAGGAGAATTGCAAGCTGGAGGCCAGTCTCAGCACCTTAGCATGACCCTGTCTCAAAATCAAAAATTAAAAAGACTGGGGATGTAGCTTAGTGGTAAAGGATCCCTGGGTTTAATTCCCAGTACCCAAAACAAACAAGCAAAAACAAAAGTATGTTTGATGATTTAAAAAAAAAGTGAGTTACATTCATGAACCTTTATATCAAATAAGCATTTTGTTAATGATTAGGAAAAGCAACATTAAAAAGGACTTCTTTTATATATAACTATAATGCACCAATTAAGATATTAATAATAACAACAATAGAATGATCACTAAAGTAGAGCAAACAGATCAGGGGAAGGGAGTTGGGTGGGAAAGGGAAAGTACTGGGGAATGTGAGTAATCAGTTTTTACGTAATATGTACATATACAAATACGGCATAATAAATTCTATTACTATGTATACTTATAATCCACCAATTAGAAGGCAGAACTTGTTGGACATTAAAAGAAAAGCAAAGTATAACACAACAGAAATAGAATCATTCATGAGTCAAGATCCTGATGAAAAGATATGACTTACCTTCATAGGTTACATCAACTAAATGATGCTTCCAGGTATCATGAGGAGGAACAGAAAGATAAAGTACAGAGGAAGCCCTCTTGCTTGTTACCACCTGCCTCTCTGGATTAATCCCCACTTGGTTTGTTATTCCTAATTTGTTATTTCTTTATTTCTCAGAGTTGTCTACTCTAATTGTATCTTGGCTGAGCAATCAGATTCAACCATCAATTCCTGTTACAATGTCACTTAACAGATTAAACTTTAATCTGTTTCTGAACCTGGTCTTGGAAACTGATCCTGAGCTTTAATTATGCCTAATTTAGGCAGCTTGGTTTTGATATCCCTGATAATGGAGTGCACCAAAACTATAATTAATCTGAAGCAATACTATCTACTGAAAGGATCTATCTCAGTAGGAAGGTGCAGGCCCTCCCTTCTCATGTCAGTTATCACCAATTAATAAACAAAGGAAGACAGCAAATAGCTTACTTAATTGATGCAATTATTGCATTTGGAATCAAGGTAATTATAAAGAGAGAATATATAACATTCTCAGCATTAAATGAAAGAAAATGTGATTTTGGTGGATTCTATTAAATCAATAATCTCTAATTGACTAACATCATTTCATTCATTTATATAAAGCAAGACTCAACTGGGAGAGAATACATCTGATATGAACAGTTTTTAGTTTTAGACAGAATATGTCACTATTGCTCTTCTTTTTCTATGAACTGAAGCCACTACTTTTTTTCAAGGATGCCTGGTCTTTGTTTTCATTGTACATTGCTCTGAGTCCTAAAAGCAGGATCTGTCAGTTCATCTTTAAACTAACCCAGAAAATTAAGATCAATTGTGCCACAGCAAATATGCTTTCTAATTGGCTGCTGTCTTCCCCATTCCTTCTTAACACAAGTAATCAGTGCGTTACTACTTTTTCTATAAGTGAGGCATTTCCATTCCAAGTGCTTATCCACGTCCCCCCCACACTTTTTTTTATTTTCTATATTGAGCTCATGCCTACTTACAACTTTAAAATGGCAGCTAAGTCTGGGTTGAACCTCTTTCCTGAGGCCAGTCTCCTGATGTGTGAGAGAACCTCAAAAGAAACACTCACCTAAAAAGAACTTCTTACTTCAAAAGAAAATTCCTTGTATTCTTTTGAGACTCAGAAATGGTCTTTGTTCTTTCCTCTCCTCTAATAAAACAACTGTGATAGGTTGGGGCCAAGACACTGTATACCATTCCAATTCAAACATATGGTCTCTGTATTCACTAAAGTATACACAGATAGTCCTGTAGACTCACACCTACCCTCACAGACATCTAGATGTGATTTCTGTGAAGCCAGTCCTTATACCCACAGTCAGTACTAGTTTTCTTCTTCATGTTCTTTAGTATTGTATTTATAGCCCTGTTATAACACATCTACTGTAATTGTGTGAGAGGTATTAGTTTTGTTCATCTTTGCCTATTCATGTGCCATCCCAATCTACCCCGGCTCAGTAGAATACAATGGCTGGGATTAATTAGACATTAATAACTGTATAGTTAAACTTCGTCAAACACCTTTACATTTTCATATTAACTACTGAAATGATCAGAAATCCACACTAATTTTAATTACCTTCACATGAATACATACTTTTTCATACATATATAACACTGTCTCTTTCATGAGTAATACTTTAAAAAGTATGTGAAACAAAGCATGTAAACAAAATAATGGCAATTTAACAATATTTAATATGCATATTACATTTGATGTACATGTAAAGATTCATGCACACATAGATATCAATAATGCCATATAGTATTCCTAGCATAACAAAAATAAAGGTTAATGGATCTAAAAATTTAAATATAAGAAAAAGAGTTAATACATTTAAATAAATTCCCAGGTAATACAAAATCAATATGAGAAGGCAACTAAGTTAAAAGTCTTTGCTTCCTCCTCATGGGGAAATGCCTCAGTATGGTGCTCTGTACTGAATATATCTTGAGTAGGTAGCAAATATGAGTAGTTTGAGAAAGTGGAAAATGAATGGATAGTTTAAATTTTTTTTCTTTTAATATTTGTTTAGTTATCAATAGATTTTTATTTTATTTATTTATATGTGGTGCTGAGAATTGAACCCAGGGCCTCACACATGCTAGGTAAGCGCTCTACTACTGAGCCACAACCCCAGACCGAATGGATAGTTTTTTAACCATGTGATTTAGTGCTTCCTTCCTTCATTCATTCTTGTTTTCCTTTACCCCATATGTAACAACTTTGTAGCAGTGGTATAGTAATACTGACTATCCAAAGGAAAATACTGACATTAAAAATATCAATACTGACATTAAAAAGGATTATTCATCAACAGAGAAAATAAAGTGATTACTTTCTTTAATATACTTTAGGATTTAAGTTCTGATATATATGTATAAAGTAGTAATTTTTTTAAGATTTGAGAACCTATAATTTCCCAGGAATTGTCCTCTTCTTTTAAAAGCTAGGCTGTAATTCTTTTCATCAGAGCTTCTAAGGAAAAAAAAAACTTATTTTCTGATCTAAAATTTGTATTTTAGAGGTTAGTGACTTTATATATTAATTAATATGAAAAGTGAATTATAAAAACGTGGAACCTTTTATAATTATGAAGGTTTATGAAACTGTCTTTCCTAGAAGATTTAAAAAATGTTAAAGTTCTGGAATCATTTCAATCTCTAAATTATTTCACTATACAACAAGGATTCAATCTGTGTTTAAAATATTCCTAATTATAATCAAATAATTTGGCATGTGAAAGTTTATTTAATATAAAATATATAAAGTAGAATATTCCTATAATAATCAAACAATTTTGCATATGGAAGATGTGGTCTTTTTCTTTTTTAAAATAAAAAAAATTATTTGAATCAGACATTTGAAATATGAATCCTTATAAATAATTAGTTGTATGGTAACTAGGGCAGACCAGAATTTATTACATCAAACAAAAATTATTAAATTTTCCCCTAATGAATTTTGAATTACAAGAGCCATCATTATTAATGGTCCAATGTTGTTAGAAAGTTATCTTTTAATTGTATCATATGGAAAACTGTGTCTAAGTAAAATATCTTTCATTTATATATAATTTTAGAATGGATAATGCATGTTAACTTACATTTGATGCATATTAAGCAGGCATGATAAGGATAATTATATCTTAAAGGGGAGGAAAGATTTTGCACATAGTAAGAAAAATCCTTTTTCCATTGAACCAGGATAATCCTCAATATATAACCTCTAAATATAAAAGAGAATAATACATAAAAATATGTGAAACAAAGCATGTAAACAGAAATAATAATAAAATACAATTTAACAACACTTAATACTTATCAGTGCCTACTGTATGTTCTGAGAGTTCACATATAGAACAAGCACTGGAGGTGGTTGGCAGCACAAACCTTCAGAAAGGGAAAGCTCTATCAAAGTGGGCAGAAATAGGAAGGTGATTTAAAAGAAAGGAATCAAGTAAGAAAGAAATGAAGCTGAAGAGAGAGATAACCTATAAAGAAAAAAGAGGAAATAATATGCTTAAACATCAGAATTTGGTGATAAACTGACAAATGAATAAGAACAAAAAGGTAAGACTTCCTTTGTGTCTCAAGGCACATCTGTATGGTGGCACCTCTTACATATTGTTGATTTGTCTGTCCACCTCTCTTTCTACAGAAAGAACTCTTGCAGAGCAGGGAAACAGTTTGCAGTTTCACTTAAAAAATTTCCCTCAATAAATGATTATTTGGCTGCAATGAATAGTTCTATTTGGCATTAGACAGTTCTAATATACTTTCTCTGATACCTTTTCTTGAATAGCATGACAAGTTCCCCTCAAGACTTTGTCTCCATCAGGTTTAAGGGATGCAGATATCCACAAAATGGAGAGGTTGAAAAACATCCATTTTCTAGGTTTAAGTATTATGATAAGGTGCTGGGGTTGTGGCTCAGTGGTAAAGTGCTTGCACATGTGAGGTACTGGGTTTGATCCTCAGCACCACATAAAAATAAGCAAATAAAATAAAGGTTAAAAAAAAGAATGCTTAAAAAAAAGTACTATGATAAACAGATATTCTGGTTGTGAAGTAAAGCAATACATGTTTTATAATTATAGGACTTCAGTTTTTCAGGTAAATGGACAAAGTCTTATTCTTTGGATTTCTTCCTCTTAGTGTTCTCCCCTTGGAGAATTTTGCTAGTCTCATATTAGTAACTAAATGTATATCAAGTTTTCCATTATACTATAAATTCACCCTAGCATGTGGATGTCTTTCTTAAATAATCAAACAGTGCTATTTCATGGAAGTAATATCTCATGCATGTTTCATTTGTGAATCATTGTACGATCACCACAGTCAGTAGGATGATCTGGACATAATAGACACCTGATAAATATTTGCTAAATAAGTCATTATTATGTTGATTATTAATAGGAAAGAAAACAGGAAAAACATGAAAGTATACATGAATTTTGTACATGAATTTTTGTGATAAAAACATTTTGCTATATTCTATTAAATAAATATTTTTTTTAGAAAATCTACCTCAAGCTGTCTTAATTTTCTTAATTTACTTCCTCTCTTATTAATATGTACAAAGAATTCAAATCTTATTGTTGAAAATACCAAAAACTGTCCATTCAGTCAAGCATAATTCAGATAGTCTTTTCTAAGAAGCATAAGAACTCAGGAAAAGGAGATAAAATGCTTTCTTAGCATATGACAAGAGTGACATAAATTAGAACATGGATAATAATGTAATAAATTGAAGAAAGCTCCTATTTTTCTGTATACTAATTTTAACAATTTATGGTAAATAAATCATACTACTTACCATAAATTGAACCTATTTAAAAACAAAGTTTACATGTAAAAATAAATACAAGTAACTGAAGAGAAATATTTAGTATGCTATTCTAACTTTTTAAAGCCAAAAATAAAAGGAAAAAGAGGATGGAGTTAATGGAACCCACAGGCTACTGATGTGGCAGTTTATCAAATGTTGCTGTAATGAAAGATAAATAATACAGGCAATTCACACTTCATGAAAGGATAAAAGTGTCAGTGTGTAGGTTCCAGTTTTACTGCAGGCCATAATCAGCAAGTAAACGAAAGTGCAATGTCTAAAAAGTTTATAGGCTTCTATGAAGGCCTCGTCTTGTCAGGTATTGATTTAAGTATTCAGACGACTTCACTGGTATTAAACAAATTGAGTGTTTGTGAACTTAGAGGACATGTTCTATTTCTCCCAACAAAAGTTGCCTCAAGCTTAATGTTAAGTTGCTTCTTCTATCACTTAAATTTAAGGAAAGGGCAAAAAACTTCTAAAATGATATCTTACACAATTATTTTCTTCTTAAATAGAGGGCAATCCAAAGTGAATGTTTCATATTCTCCACCTTCTCCACATACGTGGACTCCATATTTCTTAGAAAGCTGAAAATAGGAAGGGGGGGGGGAAGTAATAGAAAACTTAAAATTAGACAGCAAAAATGCTCACTGAACTTGTATTATTTTGTACTAAAAAATCATGCAGGAAATTTTGATTGCAAAACAGACTGTAAGCTACAAGAAAATAATAAACTTTCTGCTTAAAATACATTTAAAATCACTTCAAACATTTTATCAAAAAGCATAGAATTTTTAATAGTCTCGAAATCTTTATAAAATAGTAAGGGACCAGTATTTTTCTTTGTAGTGTCAAAACTTAAAGATAGTATAAATTTTAGGCGTGAAACTAACTTTAGATTCAAAATGAGGCCAAGCTACTAAGTAGTAAATAATCTATACAGCCAAACTATGTTTTCTTTGTCTGTTGAACTTTAAGTATGAGGGGAAAATCTGCTGTTTTTGGAGAACTTCTCAGGAACACAGAGAAAAAAACCTAAGACCTTTCCTTAGGCCTGTGAACAAAAAAGAAGTTAAATCCCAGGGACATTGGAGGTTGAGACAGGAGGATGGTGAGTTCAAAGCCAGCCTCAGCAATGGTGAGGTGCTAAGCAACTCTTCGAGACCCTGTCTCTAAATAAAATACAAAATAGGGCTGGGGATATGGCTTAGTGGTTAAAAAAAAGAATGCTTTAAAAAAAAAGTACGATGATAAACAGATATTCTGGTTGTGAAGTAAAGCAATACATGTTTTATAATTATAGGACTTCAATAGGAGTTCTATCCCTGGTACCAAAAGAAGAAAAAAAAAGTCACATGCATCATGGTTATTATACTTGAGGCTATATAATAGTGTATTTGGAAAGTTCCAAGGCTATGAAAAAACAGTGAAGATCTAAAGCTGTAGGAAATCTTAAAAAGGTCTAAGTCCAAAAGAGATTGAGATAGCTTGTAAAGTTGTCTCCAACTTGAAATTAAAAGATAAGCAAAGAAGCAAAAAATCAATACAATTTATAATTTTCATTTAAACATAATCCATGTTACTGAACATGATACCCAGAATTTTTAAAAAAATCTCCTATTTGGTTGGTTCATGGTTGGTATCAATGCTGGGGAACATTCTCACCAGCTGTCATTGTCTTGAATCTTTCAGCTCCTGTGGGAAGTCTTTATTATTATGATTCCCTCTCCTTTATTCTGAATGTCACAGTTTTCCCTGCTTATAGCTTCTCCTTGCCTAATGTTCTTATAGCCAAAAGAAGAGTGATTTGTTTTGATGTATTACTGCCAGTGCTGGAACTGTTGCCTAAGTCTTCAGCTTTATACCCATAGTTAAATATTTATTTATTCATAGTTACATATTTATTTATCTGGTTATTTTTGAAGCTGTGATACTATTCTGAACTTATTAAAGTTCAACTATTGACTATATAGGCATAGGCTTTAGGGATTTAAAGCATGGGTCTAAGAGAATTCTACTTTTCTCATTAAGGATGAGTAGTTAGTTATATGAGGTATTAGAAAGGAAAAAAAAAAAAAGGAAAACTGAAGAGGAGAAAACTGAATGATGTTTTCTATAAGAGCTCCCAAGAGCAAAGTAGATACATTTTTATCATGCTGGGTCATAAAGCAGTGACTTAGCAAGGCCAAATTGTGAGTTGGTTCTATGATTCCAAATAAGAGGAACAGATTACTTTATCATAGTAAATTGAATTAAATCTATATCTGCTTTGCAATAAAAATAAATAATAATGGATAAGAATTATAGGGGTGTTTCTCTGTTTTGTTAGCTAGTATCTACCCCTTCTGTTCATGGCCAATCTCTCATGCAAACTTTCCACTGAGTGAACCTTCTAATCTCACATTTATGACTTATTGCTAGCCTCTTTATGAGTCTACTTTATCATTATTAGTTTTCTTCTATTAGAAAATGCTTCATTGATTCTTTACATTATTTTTGTTATCCACAATCAAAGAATAACTGGATTTTTAAATTAAAGTTTGGGTAGCTATTGTGTCCTTAGTAGAAATTATGTAAGCTGTTATGTTAAACCAGCATTTACTCTATAAAAGGCTGATATATTCAAGATGGTATTCACTAAAATCTGGATGTACCCAGTGATATTTTCAGTTTATATAAAATATTTCTATTTAATTAATTCTTCAAAAAATACTTATTGAACAATGATTATTAGCTAGGCCTTGCTAGATGTTAAAGATCCAAGAATAAGCAAGACAACGGCACTTGAAGTTCACCAAATATATTTCAATACTACAAAATATGACATGACATGATGTTGCCTCGATAAATGAATATGTACAATTTCTTTTGCCTTTCTATCAATGATTCACCAGTAATGGACACACAGATTCCAAGTCAAGAAATCCAGATAAAGGGCATAGAGTTTTTAAGATTGAGAAACCAGTTAAGTGTTGTTAAGACATCCTTATGATGTCTTTTGTAGCTCCTCTAACTCTACTAGCTTCAAGCCCTAATATACACAAGTACTGAGAGAAAAACTCACCTTTATTGGCTTACGTTTAGCCAGCTCGAGAGTGGTCATGAAAGAACCTCCCCAAGAAGCAAAGCCTATGCTAGCTATATTTTAAAGATTTGACTATTAAAAATCAAACCCTTGTATCACAAAAGTATGATTTATGCATGTGATGGAAAGTATCATTTTAGGTAAGTGAAGGACCCAGATACACATATTTCAGACACATTTAGGGTACAACCTTCAATTTACTTTTCTAAAACTTATAGGTCGATGTTACTAATATTTCATAGAAAACAACAACTTTATTTCTAAAACATCTCAGGTCTGTCTCTGGCTTCACCTTAAAATTGAAAATTAATGTATACTAGCACTCAAGCACTCCAAATGCAATTTTTGCAGTTCTCTTTGATAAGTTTTCCTATTAGCATAACTGCAATAAAAATACTAAAAATCTAGACTGTTTAGAACTTTAGCTTCTTCCTGAATTTTGAGATTCCATAATTTACATATATATAATAGCAATCTATAATAAAAAATAAATATTTTCATGTTGTCTATTCTTTTAAGAACTAATATTTTTAATGATTAAAATATATTTATGTTTTTTACTTAGTACTGTATATGAAAAGTGGAAGTTGAAAGCTATTCTCATCATTACAAAAATGTCGGATGGGTTATAAAATTGTGCTTTTATAACCCAGAGTGCTGAGAATGCAGTCATGTGGATGAACTAAATTACAGATTGGATAAGCCTTTCCTACATGAGTGAAATTCCATGTCTACTTTCTTAATTGGAGAACCAAGGGAAGAGATTCAAACCTCCATAGATTAAAGGATTATATCAATGTATATAGAAAGCGGCCAAACTTTTATGATCAGTGGACTCCTGTGATAAACTTTTAGAGTCATGAGAAGATCCATGGAATCTGTTTAGTCTGCTAGTTATTTACCACAAATCCTAATTGAGTGCATATAGTGACTACATGCAGTATGCTGGGGCTTGGACAAAAAGGAGATGAGGAACACCTGCTCATCAAATCTTTTCTATTAAATTTCCACTTCACCAAAGATTGGGGGCAGGGTAGGAAGACTGAAAAATTTCCTCTAGGGCTTGGAGGGGCTGAGAGTAGAAGCAGAACTGTCTGTAAAGTGGGCTGGGGGTTGGGTTCCCTAGACTCATTGAAGCTGAATTCCAAGCCCAGATGAAAAGAGAGTCCTAATCAAAGTAACTTCAAGAAGTGCATATTCAAATGAAATGCAACTAAGAACAGTCCCAGTTCAACTGGAGATGAGACTGAAGAGAATAAACATCCCAGACTAGCTGTCAGATGGAGAAAGGAATATGCCTTTTTCTAGGGTAAGGATTATTTACCTCAGTCTCTATCATTCTTTTTTATTCAATATATGACGGGAAATATAAAAGAGATGTTAAAACATGCAAAATGTGACCTATAATCAAAAGAAAAACCCAAAACAAAAGGAAATAGAAACAGACCTACAAAATAACCAAATGTTGAACTCAGTAGACAAGGACAAAACAATTATGTTGTAGTGCTTAATGGTAGAGGTAGACAAAATTCATTAAAGATGGTGATTGCAACAGAGATGAAAAATTGGAGGTAGATTCATCTAGTTCATTTAATGGCTGAAATACGTCTTGGGCAGGGGATCTGGGATAAGTTGCTTAACTTCTCTCAATTTCAGTTTTCCTAGGTAATAGCTTTTGGGGACATTGTGAAGTTAAATAAGATATTATATACAAATCTCATAACAATACCTGGCATGCAGAAAGCACTCAATATATGTTATCTTCTGCCCATTAGATTATTTTGCCCTTCTCTTGGGTCTTTGGCTCTTTTATTTATTACCAATACTATTATCTATTACTTTTAGGCAAATGATTCTTAAAACTCCAAGCAAACAATCTCTCTCCAATATATTAAATCCCCCAAAATGTTTATCAAATGTTTTATTTGAAAGCATTAAATAAATAAAACAAAGTTCTTGGTATTTCCTCAAAACTTTATTTCTCTGTTCAAGTTCCCTGTTTGTAATAGTTAAATCAAGCTTAAAATATTAGAGAACTTTGTCCTTTCTTTCTGTATATAGCTTACATATAAAAATGATTAATTCATTTACTGAATCAACAAATATTTTCTCAGTACTTAATAAGTGCCAAATCTATTTGTACATTAAAGATATGGCAGTGAACAAGACAAAGTGCAAAATTTCTTTCATCCTAACACCCTGATGGCCACCCTGCATTTCAACCATTACAAAGATCTCATCTTCCTACTTTGTTTTCACCTCTCCCAAACTCTTTACATACTATCAACACAATAATTTTCCTTAACACTATATTATTGCAGTACTCATCTGCTTACTTTTGGTGGCTGACGATTGCCTATTCAGGTAAAAATCAAGATCCTTAAAACTGGTAATCAAATACTTCAGCCAATTCAAAAAAAAAAAAAAAAAAAAAAAAAAAAAAAAAAACTTTAGTTGGCTTCAACAAACCCCAAAGACTAAATCTTATTAAATATAAAGTGA